ATCTCTTGAGCGTTGACTCACTGTTACTGGACACGTCCATCCCCCAGAGGGAAGTGTCGTCGCTGAAGCCTATGTTAGACAGCCTACGGGAAATGTCTGCCACTCCTGCGAAGGAATGGCGACGAGATATTGAATTAGTGTGTTGGCTTGAGTCTCTGTTTGGTGTCGAGACTTTGTGGCTTGATTCGGAAAATAAGTTTCTCCCCACTGCACATAACAGCAATTTGCTAACATCGTTATTTCTATTATTTCTTGAAGTCTCTATGCAGTCTACATAATTCTGATATAGATTATCTAGGTTCGAGAAAGAAATATTTAAAGATGTCTGTTGTAAAGACAAGGTATTTGTATAATTAAAGAAGTCATCAACAGACGCCTCAGTTATAATGCTTGATTGTCCTTCATACTTCTTCCGTAAATGTGGCTTGTCTCTGAGGAAACTCTCAAGAAAACGAGGATCGGTAATGTCATGAGACACAGACAAAATAGTAGAGTTCCTGCTCATATCACCGTTTTCTCTGGCGAGTGTTAGACCACCGTTTTCTCTGAATGGATGAAGTTCTTCCAAGCTTAATGGGGTGTAGGACTCCTCTAAAAGACTATCGCTTCTCGCCGTTTCTGGGCTTCTAGGAGCACTTAGCGGACTTATTAACGGGGTTGTGATACCTTCAGACACACCACTATCAGGGTTGTCGCTGCTGGAGATGTTACCACCTCGAGAACTTGTCTCAGAAACACATCTATTGCCAGAGCATCTATTGATAGGGATATCCTCGTCGTCGAAGCTGAATTCAATTTCCATAGTGTGGCGCAATTTCCTCTTTTTTGCGGACTGCGATAAGTCTTCTTCTTGCCGCGTATTTTCGTAAATAATCGGAAGATGTGAATCTGACTTTGGCTTGGGTTGGCCCTTGGGCTTATGTCTAGTTTTGGAAGAGTTGTTGTACTGGCTTGTCTTCGACTGCCTGGGTGGCGGGGGCGGGGGAGGCCTGAGGCTGTGCAGCGCCACTGACGGCTCACAAGGACCTTGAGAATAGTTGATGTGAACGTGTTGTCCCGTGCTCCTGTACACCTTCCCGCGGCTCCCGTCTGACACGACCTTATGGGGATCGCTGTCCTTGCCGCCTTCACCAGTGCAGGGCATCTTGGATGGCTGGGAGGCGATGTAGAGGCCGTAGTGAGGCATTGGATGCTGCCTCTCGTTTGGGGACTTGCCGAATCGTGCTATGAGGTCGTTGGAGATCTTGATGGCCACTGGTTTGTGGATGTCCTTTTGCGGTTCCGAGGTGAAGTCACAGGTGTCGTCGAGGTCGTGGTGGTCAAAACTGGGCGGTTCTGGAAGAGGACGACTTCGGTCTTGTGGTTTCTTCGTAGAGCTCTTGACGTCAGTCATCGGGAGATACAGCATATTTTCGTACAGGTGTTCCCTGGTGTGGACACGTGTCTGACTGAGGTCTGGAGATATCCTCGGGTGTAGAGGCGAGTACAGGTGTTCCACCTCGTAAACACATCGTTCGGTCTTCGGCTGCTGGCACTGAGCTCGCAAGTCTCTCATTGACATGTAAATAGCATTGTCGTAAGAGTTTAGACTTTTCCTGGAGTTGATACTTGATCCGGAGGTGGCCTTGCTTCTCTTGGAGGACACGCTCGAGCTGGTGGTGTTGGCACTCGAGGTGTCACCGTTGCCAACTTTCTCATATATGGGTTCCTCTCTTGACCTTTCTCTACTTGCTCTTCGACCTTCTCTTCCCCTACCGCTCCTCTCCTCTCGCTCCTCTACTCTGGACTCTTTTCTCTTGTCTCTGCTCAATCTGGATAATATTGACTTGTTGCGTGAACTCTCGCCTCTCTCACGACTGCAAGATCGCCCTCGTCTTTCCTTCTGCGTCTCCCACACGCCACGGAAAGACGCCTCCGTTGGCACGTCGGCGATTGAGTGACGTTTGAAGGCGTGTGGGGCTCTCCCCCCTCGACCCTCCTGCAACATGGACTGACTCTGCCCCTCGGCAGCGCCTCTGCTGCTGCTGGAGCAGCTGGTGACTGTGGTGTTGGCCAAGAGACTCGAATTTTCTGCCGCTAGCGGCCGCGACCGAGATGCGGAAGATGAACGCGACCTAAAACAGTTAAGCCATCTCTTACAGTACTCCGATAATATATAATGAACATTAGAACACAAATATTGGAACCTTTAGAAGTCTTATTGACCCATACGAGGCGGCTGCTATATGTAAATTCACCCAAACTCACCCACCCGATGCCTAACAGAATCCAGCGATCCCAAGTCTAATCCAGCGAACCCACGTCTAACTGTCACACGGTAGAGTAATTTGCTTATATCAATCAGCAACCCCTAAGATATCAGTAATTTAACTAGCGAAATAAATTACGGACCTTGAGGAAGACCTTGAGTGGCGTCTGCAGTCGAGTTTGAGGTCGGCTTGCGAGGCTGAGGCTCCTAGGGGCTCCAGGCGACAGCTTCCGGCTCCCCCTACTGTACTCTGCAACGAACCAGCATGCAAAAGATACACATTAATTCCCCCCAAAAAAACATTGAGAATGTTCACAGACTTCCCATAATCTGATGGGGGCTGCAACACACCATATGAGGTGAAGTGCGGGATATGAAGGGCGTGTGAGGGATAGCAAGGGCGTGTGAGGGATAGCAAGGGTGTGTGAGGGATAGCAAGGGCATGTGAGGGATAGCAAGGGTGTGTGAGGGATAGCGAGGGTGTGTGAGGGATAGCGAGGGTGTGTGAGGGATAGCGAGGGTGTGTGAGGGATAGCAAGGGCGTCTGAGGGATAGTGAGGGTGTGTGAAGGATAGCAAGGGCGTGTGAGGGAGAGCAAGGGTGTGTGAGGAATAGCAAGGGCGTGTGAGGGATAACAAGGGCGTGTGAAGGATAGCAAGGGCGTGTGAGGGATAGCAAGGGCGTGTGAGGGAGAGCAAGGGTGTGTGAGGGATAACAAGGGCGTGTGTGGTATAGCTGGAGCATGGAAGGGATAGCGAGGGCGTGTGAGGGATAGCGAGGGCGTGTGAGGGATAGCGAGGGTGTGTGAGGGATAGCGAGGGCGTGTGAGATATAGCGAGGGCGTGTGAGGGATAGCGAGGGTATGTGAGGGATAGCGAAGGTGTGTGAGGGATAGCGAGTGTGTGTGAGGGATAGCGAGGGTGTGTGAGGGATAGCGAGGGTGTGAGAGAGATAGCGAGGGCGTGTGAGGGATAGCAAGGGCGTGTGAGGTATAGCGAGGGCGTGTGAGGGATAGCAAGGGTGTGTGAGGGATAGCAAGAGTGTGTGAGGGATAGCAAGGGTGCGATAGAGATAGCAAGGGCGTGTGAAGGATAGTAAGGGTGTGTGAGAGATAGCAAGGGTGTGTGCGGGATAGCAAGGGTGTGTAAGGGATAGTAAGGGGCGTGTGAGGGAGAGTAAAGGGTGTGTGAGGGATAGCAAGGGTGTGTGTGAGGGATAGCAAGGGTGTGTGAGGGATAGCAAGGGTGTGTGAGGGATAGCAAGGGTGTGTGTGAGGGATAGCAAGGGTGTGTGAGGGATAGCAAGGGTGTGTGAGGGATAGCAAGGGTGTGTGTGAGGGATAGCAAGGGTGTGTGAGGGATAGCAAGGGCGTGTGAGGGATAGCAAGGGTGTGTGAGGGATAGCAAGGGTGTGCGAGGGGTAACAAGGGCGTGTGAGGGATAGCAAGAGGTGTGTGAGAGACAGCGAGGGTGTGTGAAGGATAGCAAGGGTGTGTGAAGGATAGCAAGGGTGTGTGAAGGATAGCGAGGGCGTGTGAAGGATAGCATGGGCGTGTGAGGGAGGGCGAGGGTGTGTGAGGGATAGCAAGGGTGTGTGAGGGATAGCGAGGGTGTGTTAGGGATAGCGAGGGCGTGTGAGGGATAGCGAGGGCGTGTGAGGAATAGCAAGGGTGTGTGAAGGATAGCAAGGGTGTGTGAAGGATAGCAAGGGTGTGTGAGGGATAGCGAGAGCATGGAAGGGATAGCGAGGGTGTGTGAGGGATAGCGAGGGTCTGTGAGGGATAGCGAGGGTGTGTGAGGGATAGCGAGGGTGTGTGAGGGATAGCGAGGGTGTGTGAGGGATAGCGAGGGTGTGTGAGGGATAGCAGGGGCATATGAAGGTATAGCGAGAGCGTGTGAGGTATAGCGAGAGCGTGTGAGGGATAGCGAGGTCGTGTGAGGGATAGCAAGGGTGTGTGAGGGATATCAGGGGTGTGCGAGGGATAGCAAGGGCGTGTGAGGGATAGCAAGGGCGTGTGAGGGATAGCAAGGGCGTGTGAGGGATAGCAAGGGTGTGTGAGGGATAGCAAGGGTGTGCGAGGGGTAACAAGGGCGTGTGAGGGATAGCAAGAGGTGTGTGAGAGATAACAAGGGAGTGCGAGGGATAGCAAGGGCGTGTGAGGGATAGCAAGAGGTGTGTGAGAGATAACAAGGGCGTGTGAGGGATAGCAAGGGCGTGTGAGGGATAGCAAGGGCGTGTAATGGATAGCAAGAGTGTGCGAGGGATAGCAAGGGCGTGTGAGGGATAGCAAGAGGTGTGTGAGAGATAACAAGGGTGTGCGAGGGATAACAAGGGCGTGTGAGGGATAGCAAGAGCGTGTGAGGGATAGCAAGGGCGTGTGAGGGATAGCAAGGGCGTGTGAGGGATAGCAAGGGCGTGTGAGGGATAGCAAGGGCGTGTGATGGATAGCAAGAGTGTGCGAGTGATAGCAAGGGCGTGTGAAGGATAGCAAGGGCGTGTGAAGGATAGCAAGGGCGTGTGATGGATAGCAAGAGTGTGCGAGTAATAGCAAGGGCGTGTGAAGGATAGCAAGGGCGTGTGAAGGATAGCAAGGGCGTGTGAAGGATAGCGAGGACGTGAAAGGGATAGCAAGGACGTGTACACATACCTGGAGGCCCGTGTCGTGATGATGGTGAAGATAATGAGATGGCGCGAACTGCTGCAGGTACTCCGGCAGCCTCGCCCGTGGGTGATGGTGATGGCGGTGATGGCGGTGTGAAGCGGAGATGTCTTGAAGATGCTTCCTGAGGTCGCTGTAGTCCCCGTTGGAGAGGTCGACCAGGGGCTTGCGGCGCGGGTCGCTGGGGCCCGTGGTGGCCAGCACCTGCGGCCGCGGCAGGAGGGCGGCGGGGGTGTGGTCGAGCCGCATGTAGACACTGCCAGTGTCACTGTCCGTCACTTCCCCGGAGAAGAGCCGCAGCGGGTCCAGGGCGTTGCATCTATGGAGGCGAGGTGACGGGTAGCATTAGTGACATCCGTTATGGGGGTACTGTCATTGATGAGTTATGGGGTTGACATCAGTTGTGAGGGGGGTAGCATCAGTTATGGGTTGACGCGACTTATTATCAAAAGAACTGAAATGTAATACTATAATTGATGTCACCCCCTAGGCGACCCACGCTGGTCGTGGGGCTAGCTGGGCGACCCACACTGGTCGTGGGGCTAGCTGGGCGACCCACGCTGGTCGTGGGGCTAGCTGGGCGACCCACGCTGGTCGCGGGGCTAGCTAGGCGACCCACGCTGGTCGCGAGGCTAGCTAGGCGACCAACGCTGGTCGCGGGGCTAGCTAGGCGACCAACGCTGGTCGCGGGGCTAGCTAGGCGACCAACGCTGGTCGCGGGGCTAGCTAGGCGACCCACGCAGGTCGTGGAGCTAGCTAGGCGACCCACGCAGGTCGTGGAGCTAGCTAGGCGACCCATGCTGGTCGTGGAGCTAGCTAGGCGACCCATGCTGGTCGTGGAGCTAGCTAGGCGACCCACGCTGGTCGTGGAGCCAGCTAGGCGACCCACGCTGGTCGTGGAGCTAGCTAGGCGATCAATGCTGGTCGCGGGACTAGCTGTGCGACCCACGCTGGTCGTGGGACTAGCTGTGCGACCAACGCTGGTCGCGGGGCTAGCTAGGCGACCAACGCTGGTCGCGGGGCTAGCTGGGCGACCCACGCTGGTCGTGGGGCTAGCTAGGCGACCAACGCTGGTCGCGGGGCTAGCTAGGCGACCCACGCTGGTCGTGGGGCTAGCTAGGCGACCAACGCTGGTCGCGGGGCTAGCTAGGCGACCCACGCTGGTCGCGAGGCTAGCTAGGCGACCAACGCTGGTCGCGGGGCTAGCTAGGCGACCAACGCTGGTCGCGGGGCTAGCTAGGCGACCAACGCTGGTCGCGGGGCTAGCTAGGCGACCCACGCTGGTCGTGGGGCTAGCTGGGCGACCCACGCTGGTCGCGGGGCTAGCTAGGCGCCCCACGCTGGTCGCGGGGCTAGCTAGGCGACCCACTCTGGTCGTGGGGCTAGCTAGGCGACCCACGCAGGTCGTGGAGCTAGCTAGGCGACCCACGCAGGTCGTGGAGCTAGCTAGGCGACCCATGCTGGTCGTGGGTCTCGATAGGCGACCCAGGCTGGTCGTGGAGCTAGCTAGGCGACACAGGCTGGTCGTGGATCTCGCTAGGCGACCCATGCTGGTCGTGGGGCTAGCTAGGCGACCCACGCTGGTCGTGGGGCTAGCTAGGCGACCCACGCTGGTCGTGGAGCCAGCTAGGCGACCCACGCTGGTCGTGGAGCCAGCTAGGCGACCCACGCTGGTCGTGGAGCCAGCTAGGCGACCCACGCTGGTCGTGGAGCTAGCTAGGCGATCAATGCTGGTCGTGGGTCTAGCTGGGCGACCCACGCTGGTCGCGGGGCTAGCTAGGCGACCAACGCTGGTCGTGGGTCTAGCTGGGCGACCCACGCTGGTCGTGGGACTAGCTGTGCGACCCATGCTGGTCGTGGGACTAGCTGTGCGACCCATGCTGGTCGTGGGACTAGCTGTGCGACCCATGCTGGTCGTGGGACTAGCTGTGCGACCCATGCTGGTCGTGGGACTAGCTGGGCCACCCACGCTGGTCGTGGGTCTAGCTAGGCGATCAATGCTGGTCGTGGGACTAGCTGTGCGACCCACGCTGGTCGTGGGTCTAGCTGGGCGACCCACGTTGGTCGGTGAGCCTAGCAGGGCGACCGACAATGGGCTACGCATTCACTCCAACAGTGCTATTGTACAAGTAAAATAATTTATGCAGGAATCAATAATAGTACAAGGGAAGGCTCGGAGGCACAAGAGACCTTAAGTGACCCTTGTTTGGGTCGCGGCTCAGGGGGATACGAACCCCTGAATTCTAAAGGGTAACAAACTAGGGGGGAGGGGAGGGATACATTAAAGGCTGATAATACTCAGGGGATCCCTAACGTTATTCAGGGGCAACATACACATTAGGGAGTAATAAAGGCTGCTATTTTATGCTATTAAAGAATTAAAGAAAACGAGTATTTAGGGATGACTCGGTTCATGTAAATATCTATATTAAATATCTTGATATATCATTGGTAAGGTAGGGAAATATCAGGAGAAAGCGTCAAGCCATTACAACTATATAGCACTTAAAAGGGGTCAGGATAAGGATTTGGGATGGGAGGGTAAGGAAAGGAATGTTGCCCAACCACTTGTGGACGGTCGGGGATTGAACGCCGACCTGCATGTGGTGAGAAGACTTTAATACGCTAACTTGCCTTCTTAAGATTTGATGCATAATTTAAACATCTGTCTTTTTCTTAGATACAAATACCTGATTAAACTTGAAGACACAAGTAATAATATACTGTTCTTTAACTAGTATAGAATATTTTCTTATACAGTTTAAATGCATTAAATATTTATGGAAATTATGTCATTACATAATGTCTAATAAAATATTTAATAATGTTATTAAATAATATTATTCGTGAAGTATTAAATTATGTAGTAATTAACTGTCATTTCAATTTTTTTTAATCTATGATTATTCTAATAATTACATATTAATATAATAAAACTATTATCGTTGTCGATAAAATTGATTATACCCTTATCGATTAAACTATTTTGGTTACCTAATATTCGAAACTTGTACAATAATAGTAATTATAGTCGTTATTAAGACTCGTGAAGGAAACTTACCGGAGAAGCGAGACGAAGTTCAAGTTCAAGTATGATTATTGAGACAAGACAAAATCCATCTCAAAGGGATAGAGTAGCTATTTTTAGGCTATTTCTACCCCCTCTCTACTTCAAGTCCCTCACTACTTCAAGTCCCTCAAATGGCGCACAAATTCAGTGAGTACAAATACACAAATCACAATACAAGAATCCCATTTAACATTGCAGGTTAATATAGTAAGCACAGCATATAAATGTTAGACTCTTGCGGCAAAGTGCTTGTAGCTCCAAGGTATACTGTCTTATCATACCATTATCACACATCCAAGCGAGACGAAACTCAAAACGACTTGCCTTGTGTGCTTGTGCTGTCGCTTCCTCTTTTTCTCTTCTTCGGCGTGGGTGTGAGACGACGACATCCATCTTTTAAAGATAGAGTCGTTCTCCTTCCCTTGTTCCACGTTCCTGTGGCTCATCTTCCTCTGGTCCGCGTTCCCTTGGTTCACCTTCCTTTGGTCCGCGTTCCTCTGGTCCGCGTTCCTCTGGTCCGCGTTCCCATTCAATCGGTCGTAAACATTCCCGTTTTCTACAACTTTCGAAGTGGCTCTGACTTGGGCGACTTTGACCTGTAACGACGTTAATCACAGGGTCAATAGTACCGCAAAATATTATATATAATTATTTTGATTAATGCTACTCAAATAATTTTGTAATATTTCACGCGTCAACCAACCTGAAATTTCCAATACAGCAAGTTAAAAAATATATATATAATTTTATAAATTCAAAATACGGAATAAATCATTAAAAGTGAAACAAATTAACCCCTGGCATATAGCAGGGCATTGATGCCCCCTTGCACAGGGTAGGAGAGTGACGCCCCTTGCACAGGGTAGGACATTGATGCCGTTTTCTCTCTCTCTCTCTCTCTCTCTCTCTCTCTCTCTCTCTCTCTCTCTCTCTCTCTCTCTCTCTCTCTCTCTCTCTCTCTCTCTCAATCTCTCCACTGTTGGAAGTCTACCTTTTACAAATACAGTGGTGGAAGTGATTAGGTTTGACGAGATGAAAGTGGTATGGGTGAACGTGGAGGTGGCGAATAAGATCGTTGGTGATGGATGGGAGAGGCAGTGGTGGAGGTGGATGTGGTAGTAGTGTGGAGGAGGGGCTAGTGTGGGTATTGACGGTGGGAATAAGTTGGTGATGTGGGTAAGCAAAGAGCATGGGATATATATATATATTATATATATATATTATATATATATATATATATATTATATATATTTCTTCTCCGAGGCTATGGGTCCCCACATTGGCACCAGAGGTGGTACCCTCACAAACTTTATATATATATATATATATATATATATATATATATATATATATATATATATATATATATATATATAATAGGCCTATATTATTTGATACCTTACACGTCTTCTTTCCAGAGAGTACATTTTGAGAGCTTTGGCATGGTCCCACACACGTACCTATCTACTATTAGGTGGAACAGAGCCATTAGGTGAAGGGAAACATGCTTATACATTTCTGTCCCGCCGAGAGTTCGAACCCGGGTTCCCTGATTGTGACTCGAGTATTACTGTAAAGACTAAGTAACAACTGTTAGCTGTTCATTCATCTAATCTTGTATAATTCATCTATTTTTTGTTTGTTTATTTATTAACACGTCTGCACATCTAAGTATATCTGCATTTGTGCAGTTACCCTAGATTATGTGAAGGGGAGGTTATCTTGAGGTTATCTTGAGATGATTTCAGGGCTTTAGTGTCCCCGCGGCCCGGTCCTCGACCAGGCCTCCACCCCCAGGAAGCAGCACATGACAGCTGACTAACACCCAGGTACCTATCTACTGCTAGGTAACAGGGGCATAGGGTGAAAGAAACTCTGCCCATTGTTTCTCGCCGGCAACTGGGATCGAACCCAGGACCACAGGATTACAAGCCCCGCGTGCTGTCCGCTCGGCCGACCGGCTCCCCATACAGAGTACAGTGTAAAGAAACAAACTAGCTACGTGATGCTATTAGCCAAAGAATCTGCCTTTAAAGGAGCCGTTGAGTGTAACCTTGGATTGTTAATGAGCAATCTGAGAGGAGCAGTACACCGAGAACTTCAACAAGATCTTGTAGATCTGAGGCAAAGTGAAATCGACACCAGTAATTCCATCTATCATCATACTATCATGCAAGAGGAGCCACACATCTATGGTTCATCCAATAAAATCAGCAGACTTCTAGATGTTACTACTGCTCGGCTAAGACTCGGTTACAAGTATCTCTGGGAATTCTCATTATCTGCTGATATAGACCTGACCAAATGTAAACTGTGTCAACAAAATTATTCGCACACCCTCCGTCATTATGTGATGGAGTGCGAAAAGATACGTGAATTCAGAGACGATTCTATAACCAATATTCCAGCAATGTATAAATATTTCATTCAAAATGATCTGCTACCAGAAATCTTACCCAAATATCCCCAGTTTGTTAACTGTAGGTAGTAACTAAGAGTGATTGTAACCTATCCACCGCTGCCCACTGGATGGGGGGCGGTGTGCAGGACAAACATATCAATTGTGACACTAGCTCTCCACATATGTCAGTTGCTTAATTTAGAAACTGTACATGTGGTCGATCTCGAACCCATCTATGATGTGACGATGTGCATTGAATTTTGTAACTAGCTCATCAAGACTGTAACTTGCTTAGCTAAATGAATTGTGGAGTTCAGTCCCTGAGCCCATTATGTGCCTCTGTAACCCTTTCCCCTACCACCCACAAGATGGGTATGGGGTGCATAATAAATGAATGACCTAACCTAAAAACTGATGCTATGATTTTCATGATATAAAACTCTACGGACACCTCCATGCAAGGTTCACTTTAGGCAAATCTCGAAGTCAAAAATACTTAGTGTAGGAACAATATTTAGTAACAACAGAAGTAAAACCAGCTGCATAAGTTTAGATTTAGGAAAGACCTGGGTAAATACTGGTTTAGGAAAGACCTGGGTAAATACTGGTTCGGTAACAGAGTCGCCGATTTGTGGAACCAATTACCGCGTAACATAATCGACGTAAGATCCCATGATTGTTTCAAGCGTAGGTTAGACACATATATGAATGAGTTTGTATGGATATAAATAAGAGCTGCCACGTATAGGCCAATAGGCCTTCTACAATTACCTTCATTCTTATTTTAAAACAAGTTGTCCATTCCGGGAGATACATAAGTAAACGAATTAATTTATACAGTTTAATTCATTTATACCTGGAACATACCTGCAGAGAATTTCGAGAGTTGTTCTACTCCCCGAGCCCGGCCTGAGGCCAGGCTGGAGGGAGTATATAGGCGTATATACTCCCAGTATACTTATTTATTTATACACCTAAATAAATAAATTTATACAACTGGGTAAAATTATATTTATACAACACAATAATACAAATAAATCAAATTTAAACGGCTAAATAAATTAATTTATAGGATTAAATAAATCAATTTATGCAAAACATCAATTCCCCACCTAAAAAAAATAAAAAATTCATCGCTTATATGAATAAATTCATCGCCTACATGAATAAATTCATCGCCTACATGAATAAATTCATCGCCTACATGAATAAATTCATCGCCTATATGAATAAATTCATCGCCTACATTAATAAATTCATCGCCTACATGAATAAATTCATCGCCTACATGAATAAATTCATCGCCCGTATGAATAAATTCATCGCCTATATGAATAAATTCATCGCCTATATGAATAAATTCATCGCCTACATGAATAAATTCATCGCCTACATTATCTTGAGATTATCTTGAGATGATTTCGGGGCTTTTAGTGTCCCCGCGGCCCGGTCCTCGACCAGGCCCCCACCCCCAGAAAACAGCCCGTGACAGCTGACTAACACCCAGGTACCTATTTTACTGCTAGGTAACAGGGGCATAGGGTGAAAGAAACTCGGCCCATTGTTTCTCTTAGGCGCCTGGGATCAAACCCAGGACCACAGGATCACAAGTCCCGCGTGCTGTCCGCTCGGCCGACCGGCTACATGAATAAATTCATCGCCTTTATTTTGCCATATAAATGGCAAAATAAACGCTGCCATTTATTTTGAAAATAATAAACGTTTAATAAACGAAAATAATAAAGTTTATTTTGCCATATAAATGGCAAAATAAACGCTGCCATTTATTTTGAAAATAATAAACGTTTAATAAACGAAAATAATAAAGTTTATTTTGCCATATAAATGGCAAAATAAACATTTATTTTGCCATTTATACCAAAATAAACGCTGGTAATCCAGACCAATAGAGCACCAACACGTGTTCTACTGACCAGTAGGAACACTTCAAGTATCACCAAAGAGAGGGTCAGGTCACCTGGGTCTCGAGCCAGCAGGTGTTGGAGTCCTTGAGGTTAAGGTTGACCTCGGCCGCCTGCACCTCGTAGCGGACGTCAGGGGGCGGCGGCGTCGGGGCGTCGGTGGCGTTCTTCAAAGTCCACTTGAGCATCCTGGCCTCCACCTGAGAAGCGGGAGAGAAGGAGATGGTTAGATGGTAGTACACACAGGGGGAGGGAGAGAGGGAGGGAGAGAGGGAGGAAGGAGGGAGAGTGTATACCCTGTGGTATATATATATATATATATATATATATATATATATATATATATATATATATATATATATATATATATATATATATATATATATATATGTCGTACCTAGAAGCCAGAACTCACTTCTCAGCCTACTATGCAAGGCACGATTTGCCTAATAAGCCAAGTTTTCATGAATTAATGTTTTTTCGACTACCTAACCTACCTAACCTAACCTAACTTTTTCTGCTACCAAACCGAACCTAACCTATAAAGATAGGTTAGGTTAGGTTAGGTAGGGTTGGTTAGGTTTGGTCATATATCTACGTTAATTTTAACTCCAATAAAAAAAAAATGACCTCATACATAATGAAATGGGTAGCTTTATCATTTCATAAGAAAAAAATTAGAGAAAATATATTAATTCAAGAAAACTTGGCATATTAGGCAAATCAGGCCTTGCATAGTAGGCTGAGAAGTGCGTTCTGGCTACTAGGTACGACATATATATATATATATATATATATATATATATATATATATATATATATCAATAAATAATAATAATAAAATAAAGAGCCTTAAGCATAACATGTGTGGAAGCATCAGGGAATGTGTATATATGAATGCTACACAGTATTCATCTATAGACATCCATATATGGTGAAACATGTGAAGAACCTCTCACACACTCACAGCTCCCTGACAAGAGGGAGCCAGCTTAGCTTAGCTGCCAACACCCCACATCGTGTCAGCAAGGCGGACAGCCCGCCCGCCTGCTTTCATACCTCTCACTGTATTTCCCACTTCTATACTTCCCTTCCCCTATGCCTCTCCTTCCTCTTTACTCCCCACCCCCCCCCCACCCCCCAAAAAATTAAAAATATGGTGTTGGTACATCCCATTTTCTGTTGTATGTGGCTTTAGGCAGTTGGTGTATCCCATTTTCTGTTGTAGGCGGCCTGAAGTTTTGAGTAGGCCTACGAGAGATGAGGTTGAGTTGGTGGGACCTGGGGAGGGGGGGGGAGGAGTGCTTGCACCATTAACACAAGAATAAACATGAAATAAATTATCTTAAGGTCAGTAAGTAAGGCGATAAACAAAGTCAAGGAGAGGAAGATGACTCTGGTCCCAAGCGCCATCTTGTTTCTTCCTTAAACAAGCAGTTAAGTGCAACGTTCCTTCACTTCGTCTCCATTTCAAAATCCAGCTGGACAAGAATCCTCAAGAACAATGAGCGAGGGAGGGGGGAGGGGGAACCTTCAACAAGCCGCAGGCTTCCTGTCCCCGTTAAGACCAATGAAGAGTTGGTGGCCCTCAGGTAAGTTCACTATTTCATACTTTCCATTCCTTATATTGGAATATAAGGACTTATATTGTAATTACTATTGCCCCTATTATACCCTATTATTCCTAATATGCTTTATTATTCCTTATTATGCCTAATTATTCCTAATATGCCTTATTATTATATAGTTATATTATAATTATAATTCCTTATATTATATTGCAATGACTGCACACCATGCAACTGTGCAAACTTCCTCCTTAAGAACTGCTCACACTTCAACATTATTTTTCCCCCTTGTCAGAAATTCGACAACAAGTAATAATAATAACAATAAAAAGTTGTAATTTTGATGCGAGTGATTGTTGGTATTGTGACAGGCGCCTACAGTGCCTCTCCCCCCACCCTCTCACACCTTACTGCTACTCCTGTCTACCTGACAGCTCGCCACTCACCACCAAAAATGTTGACGGGGAAATATTTGGAACGTCAGAAAATATGACAGTAAACTGAAAGTTTACTGTCATATTTTACTGTCAAACTGCCAAACTATTTACTGTCAAACTCGAAAGTGTCCAAGCCTTCGCTGGGAGGGAGGGAGGGAAGTGGGTGAACAGGGTAGAAAGGATTAGAGAAGTAGGTAGATATGATTGAGGGTTGTTGGTTATTTCCATCATTAGCCTGTCCATCCCTCCATCAGTCTATCCCTCCGTCTGTCAATCCCTCCACTCGCCCCCTCCTTCTACCTGTCTGTCCTCCTACTCTCCTGTTTAGTGAACACTGGTTCATTCTGGAGTTATTATGTACAGTTGACCTTGTTTTCAGCGAGACGAAATACAGAGAGCAGGTGTTGGCAGCCTCTCAAATAACACGTCACATATTGACTGCAAAATCCGCCAATATGTGATGTGAACCGAACCGTCTCACGCATAGGGAAAGCACCACGTTATTTGTCTGTTTGGATTTCGTTCGGTTCTGTTCGGTTCGGTTATGTTGTTGTTGTTGATTTAATGGCAACGACGATCGTGGGATCGGATGCGCCCCGGCGTACCCGTGAAGGGTTAATCGCGAAGCCTGGAAAGGGTGAATCGCCAAGCCTAATCGCGAAACGAGTGACGCCAATCACTGCGTCACTATGCCGCGCGGCAAAGAGACGCAGACAGGCAGATGATTGGGGAGTCCCAGGAGTCCCGCAGGGTGACGAGCACCGGCCCCGCCCCGCACAGACAACACCAGGTAGCAAAACAAAAATCTCGACCCTCAACTAAAACGCAAAAGTCATCCAGTGGTCACCGGTTCTCCCGTAGCCTCGGGACTGGCTGGTCAGGATGTGCCCCTCGTCCGGTTTAACACAGGCCTAGTCCTAACATTGAGCCTTTAGCGTGCCCAATCGTTCAGGTGCAGCGGTACTAAGTGTGCGACACCTTGACTACCAACTGTTGTAGGTTGTGGATAGCTGGATTGTATAGAACTTCATGCAGACATTATTTGTGAGGCGGTATCTGGAGTCTACCCAGAGGTACAGTGGGACGGCACTGGGCCGCCTTGTGGTGTACCTGGCCCCACGCTCCCCTCGTGTGTAAAATAGTCCTTGGGCCCTCCTTCCCAGGGTCGTGGTTTGTGTGCGCGACTGGTGGTGTGTTTACATGAGGTGGGTGACAGTGTCCTAGCCTGGGCGAGTGGTGGAGCCCCGGGCAGCTACCCTGTGCTGCGCCTCCTGGCCCGTTGTTATGGCAACCGGGCTCAGTACCACCCTATCTTCTGTTGTGCTTGCTAATCCAAGTGATCTCCAAGCAATGGATCCTGAGCCCGCCGCCGAGGAATATGTTGATGCTCGAAGTGGGTTGCAGTCACCCGATGACCTGGAACCCGATGCTGATCTGGATAACGGAAATGAGTGGCATTTGCAACAATCAAGGAATGCGAGAAGAAAGTCTAAACTTGCAGACTCTGCTGATGGCGATGAGGACATTGGCAATGATGACAGAAACACCGGAACCCGTGTGAAGACGGTGGAGGTGGGCGGTGGTGGGCCCACCCAGCCAGTGGCCCGCCCACCCAAGCCTCCTATTGCTCCCCGCGCTGACTATGTGCGCCTGGCATTCCCAGCTGGAACATCCACCAACGATAAACTTAAATGGTTCGAACAACTTTCTACTAAGTTCTCCAAAACACTCCTCGATATAGTCCGACCTAGACCAACATCCCCTTACATCTTTGTGTCACGTAAGCAGGAAAATATCATCACTCAACTGGTTAAAGGTGAGATTGCTAATATTGTTTTCACCAGAGAAGACATCATCAATCGACCTAAAAAATTTAAGGAATATATTGTTACCAGTTTTCCCAAAGAGTATCCTCTTGATAGAGCTTATACCCTTAACGGGGTCTACAAGGCAAGACGGATATATAAGGATGGTCATCCTCTCAACAGGATCATCATTGTTTGGAATGGCGGTGACCCTCCCCCTGAACATTACACCTTTTTTGGACATTTCATCCCATCAAGTCCTATAAAATCTTGGGTATCCCCCCCTGTTGTTTGTTATAAGTGCCATGGTACTCATCATATCTCTAGGTACTGTCAACATGACCCTGTGTGTGGGCTCTGTGCTGAACAGCACCAAACAAGGGAGTGTCCTCACAGGGACCCCCCTACCCTTGAGGATGGGGAGGAAGCCTCTCCTCTGGTCCGGAAGTGTCCCAGGTGTAAGCGTCAAGGTGTAGATGTTTGGCATCCTGGCTGCCCTCGACGCCCCGCCCTCTCTACCATGAGCAGGACGCCGGAGGCGTCTGGTCCAGCTGCAGGAGGCACCCAGCTGGAAGCTCCTAATGTCACCTCTAGTAAGCAGTTTCCAACCCTCGATGGGCTAAGGCAAACAAGCAAAGATACAGAAGAAATTAACTGGTTAAAAAATAAAATTATGGATTTGGAAGCTAAAATACAAACATTAGTGATGAATCTGCCCGGTGATAGTGAAGTGAATCATGCTAGCGATAGTGATCAAGTAAATTCTCCCAGCACCAGTAGTGATGCGAGTGGTAATGTTGCAGCTGCTGAGGCTACTTCACCTGTCTCTACGGAACGTGAGTGTCAAATCCCCGTGAGGGATGGTGTTAGAGTAGTCATTGATCCCTCACTGGCACCCCAACTAGATCGTCAAGACACCCTTGACTTGCTTAAACATAAAGACTTTAGAACACCAACTCCTACTCAGGTTAAACGCCTCCTAAACAAAAGTACTCAGGACACACGGAACAAAATTACTTATGTTCTCCAAATGTTTTACGAACTTAAATGTTACCTTAATTCCCTTGACACTTAACCATGGCTCATCAAACAAAAACAATTAAGTTTCTTTCTTGGAATATTCGAAGTGTTTATCTTCGGATAAATGACGTAATCTTGTATGCTAAAATGAGAGACGTAGATGTGATCTGTTTACAGGAACCATATACGACCACAACTATCAAGAAGGTCCCACCTAGGATACCTGGGTATATAGCATACAACAACAGTATTGGAACTGGTTTACTAACGTATATTAAGAGTGGATTAATCTGTAAACTAATTAAAAATCATAGGAGTGATAGTATACATTATCAAAAATTCAAATTGCAAACTGCAAATAGCCATTTCC